ACATGGGCAACAGCTCCTGCAGTTGACCTCCAGCCCTATATTCTAGGCTACACTTGCAATCGAAATGATCGTCAAAACAGTCGTGGTGGGAGAAGCCGCATCCACGTTAACCAAACATTTGCATTCCTGCCGCTGGACCTCCCCCATTTTTCCGCGGTAGAATGCAGTTGCTGGCTCCAATTAACACTACGAAATAAGCTCTCTTTACTCGTTGGCTATGTCTATCGCCCTCCCAATGTCAGTGAGGAAATTAATCGTTTTCTCGCAGCGGCAGAATGTCAGCAAAACACCTTTCTGGGCTTTTGGCAAGTATCTATGTCGGGAGTACGGTATAATACCTAATAATAATTGTGTGTAATTCCAGGTTACAGGCATTGCAAAAGAAAGATAAAGCACGGACCGGGCGAACAGTGCCAGTAGTTTGGTCGGTCAGCAAGGAATTGTTGTGTAGCGTTCAGCCATCATGACCGGTCTGGCGTCATTTTTAAGACCTCGCCGCCTCAAGGTCATTCACACTTTGCAGTGAGCCGTTTCAAACGCGTTAACCTGAAGTCATACGACCGGCAGCCCTGGCAAACCTGCGTCTTCACAGTGTCGCGGCTGCCCATGCGCCACATGAACGCGGCACGCCCCAGCAACAACAGCCTAAGTCACTGAAACACCACCCCTCGGCAAATGCAACACCCACCTATTGGAGACCCTGTGAGCTTGGCCCACGAGCCTACAAAAGCGGCTGCCACCACCGTCCCAGAGACTCTCCGACATGACTGGACGCAGTCAACACTTGCTGTGGCTTCGCCAGCGATCACTGTCACCTGAGAGGACAACTACGGGTTCTGTATACATTAAACCCCTAATTGTGATGCCTTCCGTCTTCTCCTTCACACATGGGATTCGATTTGGTGATTGTACCGATCCGAGCACTTACTCTTGCCGCCTAGCCACTACAGCCTTTAATATCTCCATATTGGCTAGGCTCTAAGCGGTCTGTGACCGATTGCGTCTGGCGTCCTTTCTTCTCGCCACCTCGACGGTTACGTCTGTTGTCAACGCATAAAGTTAGGATCACAACTGCAGCGGAGAGTTTCACCCGGTTTAGGAACTAAACCGTAACGGGAGCCATTTTATATCCTTTTATACTCTTTCCAGCGAGGCGGTCCTGTTTGACACGCATATTTTCCTTCCCATGATTGACAGCCTTTTTCTCCCTAAAAACTAATTGAATCACAACCATTCTGTATTTTGCAAAAAAACCAGGGAATTTGTTCTTTCCTCTAACGGTTTTTCATTACAAACTGCCTATTTTCTATGCACGAATCGATCACTGTACCGTGTATGCCTATTTGTTCCATAATTCTTTCGAAAATTTATTTTTACTTCCTATGACAGTACCCTTAGATGTACAAAATAAATCAATTTATTATAATTACTGAAATGTGATTTAAAAACCGTCTTTAAATTTTCAGGGACCTCGTCTCACAACTTTTAAAACTTTTATTATATGTGAACAAAATCTGTGTCTTATGTAGAAAATAAGGTAGTCGTTGTTTTACAACAATTCTTCCCTCAATAAAATGAACTGCATGGGAATCCTACCTTATTACGGTCGGGTCTGATAACTGCTCCTTTTACACA